TCACACTTCTTTTGAAGTCCTGAAATATTTAGACAGTTCCCATCCATCTGTTCCTATTTGACTGCATCTCATTTTCCAAGTCTGGTAAAACTAAACACTGAGCTTTCAAGTTTAGCTCTTCCAAGATTTCTCCTCAAGACCAGAAACACTAGTGTCATGAGTCTCATAAGAATTTCTAATAAGATTTTCAACTGTGATGGCAGATTAGCAGCATGGAAACAGGACTACAGCCAGCTGGAACACTGCTACAAAGGGCTGAAGTACATCAGAGTGAAAACATTTAGCAGAAATGTGTTTAAGAATGTATGAAGTTGGTTTTTTTCCCTTTCAGAGACAGGGAACCTTCTTACGTATTTCCATTGGTTTTGGGGCACCACCTAGAGACATTGTGCTCAGTCCATACTTCGCCTGATGTGTAGATGATTTGAGAAGAGTCAGATCTTAATTGGATTTGATGTTGATTGCTTTCACCCCTTACCCGCTCCATCATCCCATTCCCAAAAGCATTAAAAAGGTTCTAACTTCCTTTTAACACAAGGAGAGCCACACTGTGAAATAGTGACAAATATTGCAAAATGGAATTGGCAACCTCAGTCAAATTTTCCAAATTCCTCCATCAAGAAGTGAAGAATGAGAGGGTCCTGCCAAAGCACCATAACCCAAATAAATAAGTTGAATCATAAGTGGGTTTCAGCTATTATTTTTCCTGAAACAGAATCTGTTTAGAGATGGAGAGTGCACTGCAGGTTTCATAATAAGCCTATTACAGGGCAAGGTTTACTAGTAAATCCCTCAGCATTTCTACTTTCCTGCTAGCTATTTCTTGCAGCTTTTCCTCAGCAGTGGAGATTTCTTTTACAGTGAAACTGAGTACTCTTTTGAGTCTAAATAATGTAAGACCTTCCTATTAGCTGCAAATAAAGCACCTAGTTTATCAAGGTATCTCGTACTCAATTTCAGAATGAATTTTTACAGCTTTTTGATGCAACTCGTAAATCTATGAGGATGGTGCCACCTAATGTAACTAGAGAACACGGCAGCTATTTTCTGTTTGATGCTGTTAAATTACCGGTTGGGGCTGAAAGATTAGGAATTTAGTACTCTTTTACCCCTCTGTTTCCTCTGGCACTGGCTTGATTTCAAGGCTTCCTTGAGAACAGGAGAGAAATATATTTTTTAAATGAAAGCAGAGATTCTTAAATTGTCTTTCTCAGGGATATCAGGATTCCAAGGAAATGCAAAGACTCTTGTGACATTTGTCATAATGTTATTGACTGCTGTCCATAATGTATCTTTATGCTATCCCCTATGAGAATTCAGGAAAATATGACAATTTCTTGAAACTATTGATTCTCTGTAAATTAACCAGAACTGTATTCTGATTTCAGTGATCCCTAGGAAAAAAAAAAGTAGATTTTGAGGTCAATTTTGGTTAAACATATATCTAGGCTTATAAATTTACAGCTGTGATCAGTTTGCCCCTGTGTTCTTATGAATGGTTTAGATTTCTTCCTCCTAATTAAGAAAGAATTTGCAGATGATTTATGAACAAGTGCAACTAAACGCAGAATAATTTTTCGTTTTTCCCTTACTTCTTAGGCCAGAGCTTATGTGGACTAGGAGAGAAAGATCCTTGATGCATCTTTTCCATATAACTTTTTTAAATACTGAACTGTTTGGTTTGGGATTTTTTAATGGTAATTGTCAGTCTACTGCTTGGTTTAACCTGGGGCAATTTGAAGGTTGTGTTAAGGCATATCTAAACTCCCTTCTTAAGTCTAAATGAAAGACCAAGGCTGTTAAGTGTCATTTTTCTCTTTCTCCAGCAGGCAAGGTAACCCTGGAAAACTTGAAACGATTGGGGCACGATGGGTATCTTGCTGTATTTATCTGCAGGGCATGGAAGGCATGTGAACAAGGGCAAGAGCCAAGAGAGGGCAGTGCATTCTCCCCATTGTTCTGCTAAAATGGGGTTGATAGGCAAAATGTGAAAACACTTGAAAACTGACTGTATATGGAAAAGAAAAATCTATGGGGGGTAGTGGCAAATAAGGAGAAGCAACAAGAATCAAATGATGATGCACTGGTCACAGTCCATGCTGACAACTGATGGGAACCATCTAACCTTCTTCCAGCATGGATTTATATCCTCCCAAACTAGTGTGGTTCTAGGCTAAATGAAGAATACTGATTTCAGAATGCAAAGATCTGCAACCACAGCACCTCAGCCTGTGACAGTGCTGGGATGATGAGTCAAGTAAGGTCTGTTACATCTGCCAGAAATTTGCATGGTAAATTAATGTGGAAAATCCCAGCTGCTGCAGATGGTGTCAGGGTTTGTTGTGTGGTTTCTGCTGTGCAGCTTCTTGCATTTCACCTCAGAGAGCATGTCACAGTGAGGCAGCACTACAGGGATAGCTGTAAAACTGCAATAATGGTACTAATGCTCACATGATGTATTTTTGCAGGGTTAGAATTTCAAACAATACCTGGATTTAATTTAATCCATGTTAATTGCTAATTATAGTCTGCAGGGCCAGTTGCCCTGAACTCACAGGATGGAGTGTCTTGTGCCTTGCTTGCTGGTGCACCTCTCCAGACCTTGTCACAGGTCTGATGATGAGCTGTGCATAGGGTCATGCTGCAAGGCAGAATCACAGAGTAATCAGAGTTAAAAGGGACCCCTGAGGATCACCCAGTCCACCTCCTGCCCTGCACAAACATCCCTGCCAGTCACTCCCTGTGCTGAGAGCATTGGCCAAACACCTCTGGAGCTCTGTCAGCCTTGGGGCTGTGACACTGCCCTGGGAGCTGTTCAGGGCCCAAACACCTCTGGGGAAAGAAGAACCAGTTGCTAATCTCCAGCCTAACCCTGCCCTGACACAACTTCAGCCCATTCCCTGGGTCCTGTCCCTGGGCCCAGAGAGAAGAGGTCAGAGCTGTCCCTGCACTTCCTTCCCTGAGGGAGTTGTATCCAGCAATGAGTTCTCCTCTCAATCTCCTCTTCTCCAGCTAAACAGACCAAGTGCCTCAGCCACTCCTCATGTGGCTTCCCCTCCAGGCCCTTCACCATCTTCATTGCCTCCTTTGGACACTCTCCGAGAACTTAATATCTTTCTTATATTGTGATGCCCAGACTTCCCATGTGGTACTGTCCTGGAAGAGCCATAGGAAACCAGGCACAACTTTCTAACTACTGCACAGCTTTGTGTCTCTGCTCACCCACTGCAGCAACTCCTTGTGGCAGTGTGTGACTGCCAGGGGAGTGAGTGGATATTGCTGCTGTGGTGGTGGAGAAGGAAGGTGCATTAGGTAGAGCTAGAGACACAGGAATTCTTGCTCTAGCTAGGGTCTTATTTTGGTTCCAATTCCAATGCTTAAAGTGATGTTAATCTGAGTATATAGAAATTTCCCCTTTTGGAGAACCAAACTGAATGGGAGAAGAGTCCAAGCAGCAATAATTTTAACCACTTTTTCTTTTTTGGAAAACACATGAAACAAACCACTCTAACATTGGTAGCTAAAATCAGAAACAGTTCTAAGCCACAATGATGGTGAAGTTGTGTGTCTGAAGGTTGGCATCAGCTCACCAGTGGAGCTCTCCCCTGAGCTGGCAGTTTGCCTCAGTAGCTGTCAGCAGAGAAGCTGTGTCTCTTTTTTAGCTGCTGAAGAGCCACTAATGGGTAATGAGCAGTTTGCACTTTCTCATTACCACTTATTCATCATAGACAGTGTGCAAAGTATCTGTAGTTAAAGTAATAAGTAATCAGTTTTGTGATGTTTGTTCTGTGTCATATTTCTGAAGTGTCTAGATTGTTAGATTAGTATTTTATAAACTGTTGTTGAAGCCCAGCATATTTAAATTAAATAGTTATGCAAACTCATGTTATCAGTTCTACATTCTGAAAGAAAGGGATCATTTTATGTCAGTCTCAGTTTCTCCTCCAGAAAACACCCTTCTCCTGTTCTTTTGAGGTTCCCTTTCCTGTGCTGCCACAAGGAACATATAGCTATAAATATATTACTCTACATGATGCACCTGTACTTATGTGTTTGACTGGTGATGCCTAAGATTTTTGTGAATTATAGCTCCTAACACATAGTCATTATTTTGATGGGGTAATTTTAGCAAACTAGTCTTGTTTTATTATATTTTTGAAAGTATTAAAAAGAAAAGCCAAACCTAAGTTTTCACAGGGTTAAATGCCAATCTGAGCATCATGTTGATTTGGATTTTTTGAGTGATGGGTTGTTGGTAAGGGTTGATACAAGCACACATTATAGAGCCATCCTGTAATACTATGTCAGCTGAAGGAACTTGAATGAATGAAATGCCAGTTAAACACAGTCCTTTGCATTCATATTAAACCTGATAAATAAAAAAGCATAGGAAAGACAAGCTTATCTAATATTTGATTTTTTTTTTTCAGAGATCTAATGCAAAAAAGATCACTCCCCTGTTCTAATACAACCAGATGCACTGATGTTAATTAACAACATGCAAGCATCTAGAATAACAGGCTGGTGCTGCATGTTGCTCTTGCACTGTGCTGTGTCTTTCAAATCCCTGTTCATGTGCCTCAACAACATACTGTTGTTATAATGCCCAGTATAGGTTTTACCTCTAAGGAGCCTAACAATAGCTTCTATTCCAGAACAGAAATGGTTTGTTACAGGACAAAAGCCTTTTGTGAGGAGAAAAGTTGAGCAAAACAGTTTTATACTCAGTTGTCTTTGTTTCCAGGCAGGCAGGCAGCTAATAATGTGCATTTGTCAGTTTACTACTTTATTGCTGTTCCAGAAAGCAGTGCTCTTGGCCATGACACGTTGGGGTTGCTCTTCATGGTTCATCATCTGTGTGGCCTTCTGGAAAAAGAACTTTACAGCAATTCTGTTTGAACTCACCTTTATTGTAGCTGTGCCTATAAATATGGGATGTCTTTCTACTCCATTTTTACTAGGTCATTTCTAATGGTGACCTGAACTAGAATGAAGTGGACATGAACAAAAAAGAAGATCTTACTCAGCAGGTAAGAGAATGATCGTGAATGATTTCTGAGCAGATGTGCTGATATAAAATACCTATTGCATCCACCTCAAGATTTCAAATTAGTGCATACTTCATTGTGGATTGTGTGCTAGGATCTTCATGCATGTGTGTTGAGCATGGTCTAAGTCTGAAGGAGATGCAGCTCTGGGGTTAAGCTGAAAAACCTCAATTTCCTTTTGGAAGCAACTCTTAACACATTGCTTTCACTTATAACTTTACCCAAAGTAATAGATGTCTAAAATCTGATCCTATTACTATCTGTGGGAAGACAGACTGGCTTTGACTTCCTTAATATAAATGAAAGCTCTGCAATTTGTGGACCAGGGCCTGACCTGGATTGGAGAGTGACACTCTTGAGTTAGGCTGCCAAGCTAAGTTTCTATATGAGTTCATTTTAAAACAGATTCTAGTCCTTAATTTGTGCTTCTATAGTTTCAAATCACCATAAAGGCAGGGTCAACTTATTAATTTCGAGGCTCAGCCTTACTTCAGGGTTTGTTTATTTTTAGTGGTTTTTTTTTGTGTTTGTTTGGTACGTGGTGCAGGTGGCATAGTCCAAGGAAAAGTAATTGCAAATAATCTTGTCCCAAGGACAACTCTGCTGCCTTGAGGCAGCACGAGAATCAATGACCTTGAGCAGCTCATCTGATAATTGCATGTGTAGTATGAAGGCTTTGGATGGGTGTAGCAGATAAAGGCAGGTGTCAGATGTGAAAATAAGCAGCACAGTATTGTGAGCTAACCTCATTCCATTCATTTTCACATGAAGGACTTTAATCAACTTGAGTATATTTATAAGTTTCGAAGAAGTAAGGAAGCTTTTCTTCTGCACCTCACATTGCCACACATCTCCCTTGACCTATGGCAGGTTTGTGCTTCAGCTGCTCTAACTGCAAAATAATCAGATATATCTAATATTTATGCCACTTTCAGGTCCTTCACTAGGAAGTTTTTGCAGCAGTTAATCACTCTCAAAGAGACACTTCATCGAGCAAGGTCACTGAGGGAGAAATTAGTCACAAAAATAATCTTGACAATGTACTGTGATCTTCATGTTTCTAGTTTCCAAGCCACCAGAGTGTGTTTATCGTTGCACACATTGTTTCAGCACTGCACCCAAGAGCCAAAACCTCTCTCTGTGCCTGGAGCTACTCCCTGGAATTAGCTGTGCTGTCCTTGGTACAACTCCATGGCCAGATTCCCTCCTGGTGCAAATCTTTGTAGCTCCAGTGGCTCCAGTGAAGCTGCATTAATTCCCAGCAGTAGATAATTTGTTCCTGCATCCTCTGCTCCTTCTCTGCCTGGTTGCTGGGGAGCAGCTGGGCAATGTTTCCATCTGCTAGGGGAAGGGGCAGGGAAAGCACTGGGACACAGGAGGACTTGCTTTATGGGCACACTTGTGTGAGGTCTTAAGCAGCATCTCCTGCTGACTTGGCTTCAAGTTTTTGAAATTCATTACTATGCAAAAAGATTAAATAAATTTGATGTACCAACCTGGGGGAACTGTAAAGAGTAACCAGGTTACAGCCAGAGTGGGACAGAAAAAGTTCCTCAGCATTTAGGGTTTCATGACATTTGAAATACTTTGAAAAACTGTGATTTTTGAATTAGACCTGGAAAGAAGTTCAGACAGTGTGAATAATGTCACATGTCAGCACTACTTCTATGATTCTATTTGAATTCTATGATTCTACTTGAATTCTATGATTCTACTTGAACAATATTTTTCGATTTTTTTTAGGCTGGAAACATTTAAGTAGTTTTCAAACAGTGTTTTACATGCTAGAAAAAAATCAAGCCTGAGTGAAGCTGTTTAAGCTTGCATAAATAAAAAATTCAGCCAGCCAAGCCTTATATATTTTGGACCTTTTTTTGGTTTAGTTTCCTATGTTTTTCTAACTCTTAGTTCTACCATTTTTTTACATTCCGATGTTCTTCGCAAAATTAATCTTTTGGTTTTTAAAAAGTCTTTGCCACAAACTCAGAATCATAGAATCAGCTGGGTTGGAAGAGACCTCAAAGATCATCAAGTCCAACCCTAAGGAGATGATCATAATCTGACCTCTTAATGGGCAGTTAAAATAATGGCTAAAATAAGTTAACAATCTGAAACAAAAATGAGAATGTGACTGAGACCCCAGTGCATTTTCTTGAGCTCTTGCATCACTTTTTTGGGTAGCCAGTAGCAGGAACATTGGTGTATTTTGTTGATTAGATATACAAAAGCTCCTGCTAGAGTTGCACCTTGCCTCTTTCACCTTTCCCTGCAATAGAAATCCTTTTGCAGCTATTCATCTGCAGTTACTCAGAGCATCTTTTAAACTAACTCCTTTTCTCTCCTTTTTTTTTCCTCTTTCAAATGCTCTGCTATGAGGGTTTTTTTGTCATTTCCCTGTCTCTTTTTGTCAATATGTTTTTGAGAGAGGTTTGTAAACCATGATAGCATTTGCAGTCTTGCCTGAGGTCATGACACAAGCAGCAGGAGAAAAACAGAAGGTTCCCTCCACAGCCTCTGAATTTGCCTTATAGAACACTACAGATACATTTTGATTTACTCATAAAATCCTTTTGAGGAAAAACTTCTAGAATTGCCTTGGATTTTCACCTGTGTTTCAAACACACTAGAAACCTCAGCATTTGTTATTCCTCCCAAAGGCAACACTTTACATTTCCAAATGCTCTCAGCTTGTGGATTGGCAGGTTTACAGCCAAACTGCCTTTTGGCAGTGCTGTATTGCATGATATAGTTAATGTTCCACTTCAGAGCTGCACAAAGCCTAAAAGTGAACACAAACTGATAAAGAAAAATTGCTTTAGATCTGTTTTCTGTGTCGCCACAAGATATAAAATGTCCATCAGCTGTAGAATCCTGATCACATGCCAAAAGTGGCATGTAATTGGATGAAGTAGAGCAAGCAATTCCATCTGCACAGTGCTGAAATATTTTCTTGCTGATATTGTCCTCTATCCTTTCCTCTTCCCACCTGCATGGTGCCTTACTATGCTGCTGTAATGCATGAGCATAGCCCTTATGCTCTGCTGATAACCAGAGACATCCAGATTTGTGTACTCAGACACTGCAGGTACATGGTGAACACAAGCAAAGCTGTTATTTCTATGAGCTGAGATTATCCATAAAGAGAAATTAGGTCTGATCCACCTCTACTCTTCCTGCCTCTTGTGGGACTTGTGCTGGTCCATCTCTAACTGAAAACTCCAGTGCAGTGGGAATTAGGTACCAGCACAAGTTGCAGCACTGGAACAAGTTGTCCTAACAGAAATCAGAACTTGAGGAAGTACCAATACCTATCAGTGACAAGCAGCATCAGATAAAACTTCAGAAAAAAATATCTGAATCTCAGTTTGTTGCTTTATGTGGGCTCCACTGTTTATATTTTGGACCTGATCCTTCTGGCAGGAATACTTGAATCACTGCCCAAAGCATTCACTTGCTAAGACAGAGAAACAAATTCCCAAACTGTCAAGACCTGTGATTTAAGGTGTCAGTAATATTTGTAAATAAGCTAATAAATGTGGAATGATGCTGAAACAAATGTTGGCTACAAGAGCTTTGAAGTAGCCTGAGTATCTCCTTTTACTGCTGCCTTAGAGCAACAAAAATGTAGGAACAATCAGAAAGAAAATGAAAAGTACTCAGAATTTTTGCCATATTAATGCCATGACTGTTTTGCTTTTCTTTCAGCATAGCAGGACACATGGTTCAATGAAATTAAGTCATGATTTGTGGCCAGCTCACTCACACCTTATCTCTTTCAAGGTGCTATTTCACTGAACCATCTGTCTTCTGTAGGAAAAAATCCTTTAAAGACTTAAAAAATTATACAGAAAATTCATAAGTCCTGTTCCTGGGTGCTCTCCCTTCTGTGCCCAGATACTGAGCCTTTTCTGATGGTACACACCACAAAAACTACTAGACAAGTAAGGCTGTGACATAACTCATGCAGTATGCCTTTTGCTGAGGACCTAAAGTATTGCATAGATTGTTCCCTATAATTTTGAGAGTTTTATTTATTTGAAGGTAAAAATATCACTGTTTTTGCTTAAAAGCAATGGACACAGTATCTGTTTTGGGTCTATAATCAAAACATTGTACCATAGTTTGTATTTCTTCATGGGGAAGAAACCATTTGCAGATTACTATACAGGCTGTCCAGCCTGGAGAAGAGAAGGTTGTGTGGAGACCTCAGAGCAACTTTTCAATATCTGAAGAGCCTACAAGGGAGTTGGAGAGGGACTCTGTGTTAGGAACTGCAGTGATAAGACAAGGGGTAATGGATTCAAACTGAAGGAGGGAAAGTCTACGTTAGATGTGAGAAAAAGTATTTTACTCTAAGGATGGTGAGACCCTGTCCCAGGTTGCCCAGGGAGGCTGTGGCTGCCCCAACCCTGGCAGTGTTCACAGCCAGGTTGGATGAGCCTTGAGCAACCTGATCTAGTGAGGAGGTGTCCCTGCCCAGGGCAGGGGTTGGGACTGGATGATCTGTAAGGTCCATTCCAACCCTTAAATTCTATGATTCTATGATACTATAGACACAGCAGTTATTAGAGATTGATTTCAAACTAATGTTTCCATTAACAAATGTACAAGTGATCAGTCCTTAACCTGGTCATCTTTATTCAGAAGGAATTTGTTTTGGTAAGGCCTATAATGTGGGGATGGTACCTTGTGTTCATGAAACTCTTTAGAATGGCAAATTATGTGAACAGGCAATTTTCTGGCATTTTGCTTTGGATACATTAACAACCCTTTGTCTGATTTCAGACAGGTGTTATAAAAAAGAATGTGCACAACTTTCCTTCAGTCATTTTGCTGAACATAGTTCAGATATATACAACAGGGAAAACAGGCAAAAACTTAGTCTAACTTTAAAATTTTCAGTGGTCAGCATTCAGCACAGAGAGTGGAAATACTTCATAAAGCAGAAATGCATCTGGTGTTGTGATTATGTTACTGGTTTCAAGTTATTCAAAGGAAACAACAACTTTATAAATTGGGAATCAGTATATTTTTATGATGACAATATATCTACTGTTGAAGTAGATATTTTTCCTAAATTAATTGCAAAATACAACCTTTTTATGGCAATAGTTTTCATAGCTGGAACTCTACTTTCTCTCAAAAAATAATTTTGTATACCTAGAAATTTAATATGATGACTTTAAGATTATTTGTGGTTTTCTGTATGACAGACACCAGTTCCTCCACCCTTACTGTTTCTCCCTCAGCTTCCTTCCCCTTTTTGTATTACTAAGGGAAGTGTTAAAATTCTCCATTGTAATTCTGCATTACAATCAGGTTTTGTCTGCTTTGCTGTTTCTTTCATTACATTTCTATTCCATAATGATGCAGAACTGTAGGAATTAGGCTGTTCCACATGGATGAATGTGTAGGGGTATCAGCAAACACCCAGAATTATTTTATGGGGTATTATAGGGTGTATTATGGGTATAAACCAAAGCCCTTGGATGAAGAAATGAGTTCATTAAAAACTGAGTGGTAAAACTAGGGTAAGCAAGGACTCCTGTTGGGAATGAGCTGGTAACTGTGTTTGATTGCAAGTGGTTAGCATGAGCACATCACTGTCTAGATATGTCCATGGAAGTTACAGGCACAGAGTGGTTTATTCTCCCTGTAGAGCTGGTGACCAGCAAGCTCCCAAAGTAGCTGTGCATACAGTGTGCCATAGAACTTTGAAGCAAGGGGAAGAGAGGAAGAAAATATTTCTGTGAGCTCTATGTTAGAGAAGTCATAAGTCCTTTTTTGCCTAGATAATGATGGGCAATAGCAAAATGAGAAAATAGTGAAAATAGGGAGGAATAATGTAGAAAAAGGGAGTTGTTGATGACCTTCATGGAGGCCACATAACTGTTTCCTTCCACATGCACATTAGATGCTGCTGCCTTTTCTTCTACATGCTTTTGTCTGCAACAGGAATCCCTTTTGCCTTACCCAGACTGGCATTCACTTTGCTTTTGTGCAGATCCCTTCTTCTGGAAAGTCAGAAATTGGAAAGAGAGCAGATGATTCCTGTGTTGAAAAGGTAAGGAATGGTCTCATTCAGAGGATATCCCTTGATTTCCCAGTGTTTTTACAGGTGTTAATTCCAGCCAAACCCAAGCAAACCAAGAACTGCTAATATGTCTTAAATGTATGCCTGAGTAGGTATTCATAAACAATATAACAGTTTGTGATTGGCTATGGGGTGATTTACATTTTGGTTAAACCATGTTAGGGAGTCTCTTTTAGGACTTGTGAGATGGAGAATTCAATCCCTGCCTTGATAGTGTATGAAAGAATTGATCACCCACAATATTAAAATCTCTGCTATTTTTTAATTTGAATGTGTCTGGTTTTGTTTTCCTGTCCTTTTCCCTGTCAGCATCAGACTAATCACACTTGTGATAGGCTCAGGATACTTAGGAGGGATGATGAACCAAACATTTCTTGATATTTTTGAGGGTAATGCAAACACATTAATTTCTGTAGCTCCTTTTTACACCTTTTCCACATTTATATCCATTTTAAAATCTGCTCCCTACAATAAAACCTATATCAATGTCATATATAAAGTTAAACATAATCCTCAGGTTCTTTCCTGTTTACACATCCAAGTCTGAGTTTTTCCTTTTGATAACTGATCTGGAACTTCAGTTATTTCTCCAAATTAGATCCTGAAATTAATTTAAAAGCTGTCTATTTTCAGGTTTCACTCCTCACACTTATAAGGATTTCCAGTGTTCTGTGTTTCAGGACAATAAATTTCCTTTATAAATACCAATACTTTTCATATGTGCAGGAATAAACTGAAACATAATTATTAAAACACAATTTTTTTCACATTTATAAGGGCACATTTGGCAAATGATGTGACACAGTGTACTATGTCTTATATTTTAAAAGCTATATTATGAGGCATTTTCACCAGTTTTGTTCTAAAATGTAAGAAAAATAATTCTATGAGAATTTTTAAAAATCAGAATAAGTGTCCACAGAGACCTCCATCAGCAAGAAATAATGGAAGTGCTACAAGGTAAATGCAGCTGGTGGTAGATCTCCAGTGCCATGTTCTGTGTCATTCATGCCTGTTATTTGGTTGTATATTTTATTGCTGGTTGCAGAACACATCTGAAAGTGACAATGATGAAGTTGATGGCAACAATATATGTGGTTTCAGAAAGAAAAAGGGAATCAAAGGTCCTACAGAGTATGTTCCTCCTTTAGAGAATGAGAAGATGGAGTTGTCCAGCACCTCAAAACTCCCAGATCCTTGTCCTCTTAAAGGATCCACTGGTTGCTCAGAGCCACCATCAGACCAGTCTCTCCAAGCAGGACAAAAGGACAGAGTGGGTCAGGACAGTTCCCATTCTAGCAGCGATGGGAAAGAAGACATCTCTGAAGAAACACAAGGAATCCAGGAAAAGGCAAACACTGGGGGAAGAATAGTGGGAAAAATTGACGAGGAGACAGACACAGCAGCTCAGCCAAAGCAGCCTGTGAGGTGCACAGGGAAAGGTGTCTGCGTGGTGGCAGTGCAGAGGGAAAAAGGCAGTGAGCAGGCAGGGAGGAAACCAGAAGAACGGGATGGGATAGAAGAAAGAGTTGTCAAGTTTCATGTGACGAAGACAGGCTGCCTGGGCAATGCCATCACCAGCCAAGGGAGCAGCCCTGCCAGCTCCTTCACAGGGGCACCTGGCATTTCCAAACGAAGCCTGCAAGAGTTGAAAAACCTTCTGAGTGAAGGTCCTGTGCCTTCTCATGGGCCCAGCTTCGGTGGCAGGGCAGGTGGCACTTTTGCTCAGAAAAATTTGAAACCCTGGGAGAAAGCAGCTGACAAGCAGAGCAGACACTTTGAGACCTTTGGTCCCCATTTCAGAGAGGAGAAGAGAAAGTATCACAGCTTCCACAAGGAGGGAGTGGGACAGCAGAGCAAAACTCTCCTGGCCCTCAGCTCTGCCGGCTCTGATCAGCAGCAACCAGAGGGAAGTGACGTGGATCAACTTATTCTGGGACTGCCACCAGCTCCTACACCAGCAGAAAGCACAGATCCTGAGGTTCAGTTTGACTCCTCCACAGGCCAAGCTGGTAAGGATGTTTAAACATCACCTGCTCTCCTGTTAAAGAAAATGCTTTGTTGTTTTTGTGGTGTTTTGTTAAGCTGCAAACTTGAGCCAGAGCTATTGTGTGAGAGAACTGACACCTGTGGTGTGTGTGTGATCAGGATGGATCAGAAGTTGTGCCCTAGATCCATGCAAGGCATTTATAAAGCCCAACTGCCTGACAAAAACTGCCACACACGTCTTTGTCACTAAACCTGAAATATTTCCTGATTTAAACTGAGTGTAGGCAGCATTTCCCAAAAGTCTGCTAGGTACTGCAAAGCTCTGATGGTATCTGGGCTTCTTCAAACTTCCTTTTTTTTTAACATTTCCAGCTATGGAAATTGCTCCCATGTAGAGATGATACTTTCAATTATTTGTCCTGTGAGAGGACTGGAATGCAAAAAAAAAATCTCATGTAAGTTATAGGGGAAGAAAAGCAAATGAGGCAGAGAACTTACACTTATTTTCATGCTGTTCAATAAATCCATTTGGGAAGTGTTTATAGAGACAATTTACACTTATTTTCATGCTGTTCAGTAAGTCCATTTGGGAAGTGTTTATAGAGACAATTAATTGCTATTAATAGGCTGTGATTTCTTTGAAAGTGTAAAAGCTATACTTGTGGACTAGTTGGATCAGCAAACTGGAAACTATTGTTTGCTGTGATAATGTAATGGGCCTGAGCAGGTTGTTGTTGTTTCCAGGCAGCACACAAACAACAGTTTGCCAGCTGAATAGATATCAGATTAATACATTTCCATGAGCATCAGGCTGAGATTATATTATCAGCTTTTCTGGATAGATATTTTACCTTCTGACTATCTCACTGATACGAGAAATATGAATCTCTTAATTGATAATGTACTTTATCCATCATTAAATATGTCATAAAAGATAATACTAGCAGTTAAGTGTTTACAGCAATATTAAGTTATCCCACTTGTTTTTTCAAGTGGCCTTTCAGAGGGGTAGAAACACTGCTAGACATACTCTGAAAACAGACAATTTGGAGATATCAAATGTTGTTAGCTACAGCAGGATTTCTCAGTAGACATTTTGTGTTACCCAGTTTGAACAAGTCTGAACAAGATATCCATGAACATTATCAGGGCACTGCATGAGGAATATAAAGCTTTGAAAAGATATTTCACGCTTGAATCACTCTCTATTCGTGTCTATTAGGATAAAGAGGTTAGAGGATTATTTCTCAGCCTACACTTGATGCTGTCCCCTACCCAGACTACACTGGTTTTCATACTGCTGAAAGGCAAAATGCATTGTCATATTTAGATTACTACTGTTTTCTCATTCTCTGCAAAACCAGCCAATAGAGTTTAATACATAGGAATAATTATTCTTTGTCATAACACCATTTACAAGGTACAGGGAACTGAAGGGATTTACTGTAGATTCCACACGGACATATCAACCCAATTTTAGGCACTTAATATGAAGGAACTAATCCAAGCTTATCACCTAGTCAATAAAGATAGGCATTTTGTCTTCCAAGAGGTATTAGGGTTGATGAAAAGTTGACCTCTGGAGGTGAGTGTATCTTTCCCAGGGTGGGGAAGAAGTCCTGTGATGATTAGTTTAGCTCATTTGTCTAACTCTGAAATGCCTAAAGCTACGTAGGGTTAATCCTACTCTCTATCACTGGGGATAGCAATGACTGTAAGAGAACTATAGATGAGAACTAACATTGAAAGGAGATGAGAGAAAACTGTTTTGCCTCATCCAAAACATATTCAAAATCAAAAGTTTTGGAATCTCATGAGATTTGGATTCCATTTGGCTTTGACCAAAGAAGTTCTAGGGCTCACTGTGCATTTCCAATAGTAAACTGAATGCACACAAAAAGTTTCTACATAATAAGAAATGTATTTGAAATTTAATTTTCGCTTAATACATTCAGTGACTTAAGTGAAAAGTTTTTAGATAAAATTCTGCACTCTCTAATGAGCTTTTGCATAAACAGTATTTCATTGCTGCCAGTGATTATTAGGATTGATAAGATCAAGGCCTAAATATTTTATCTTTATGACTAAAACATTATGTTAAATATTTTAGTTATCAAAGTGCCTGAAGTCTTGGATCTAAGATATCTTGACACTGAGTTGATATGAAATACAACCTCTTACAATTTGCAAGTTTTCAAATATTTGAACTTGCTCAAACCAGAAGACTTGATCCAAAACATTTACAAAAATTACAAGAGGTTGTATTTCAGATCTCTTCAGTGTTTAGACATGGCCAAAGTAGGAATTATCCTCTGTTGTTGTAAAAGTCCACAGTTAAGGGAAAATCTCTAGGGATCAGCAGTAATGGGTTAAAACATGCAGCTCAGCTGTAGTGATTCAGAGTACCTCAGAGGTTTGATATGCTAGTTACATGCTTAACATCTCTCAAAAATAATAAATCCCTGTAATTTTTCCCAAATTCTGGTTGAAAAATGTGGAAATATTACTGCATGTGCATTCTGTCCATTTCTTGTCAGCTCTTTTGTAGAAGAAGTGCTTGGACTTGGGAAAAAATAATAGAAAAGAGGAAGATGTGTTAGATATATTAAGATGTGCTAGATAGATATAGATAGTATGAAAAATTTTATGTGGACAGTGTCAGGGAAACTGGAGCTGAAGCGAAAGCTCTTTTAATCTAATGCTCTTTTCCATGGAAAGATAGAAACTAACACATGTAGCTAATTGGATGAATATACTGACTGCACTGATGTGAATTTAGGAATTTTATATAAGCTGTTCAGTGTCTGCATTCTTGGAGGACAAAGAGGGAAGATTCCAAACAGTAAAGAATCATATGAAATTTCATGTATATAGTGTTATATGACACTGCTTAGTGTGCACACACACATGGACATGAAAACGTTCACGTGCTGTATGTGTAGTGTATAGAGCACATAAGGTAAGTGTATATTAACCTCTCTGGACTCAGATCTTATCACATGCTGCTCTGCATGCTACTAAATTAGAATATTAATAATATGGTAGCCAGAGAGCAGGCCAAGGGAAGTAACTTTGTTGGAGCAATGTGAAGCACCCAAGGATCAAGATAGACCACACTCTTGGTGTGTCAACCCTCTCTGTCTCAGGGGGCTATGGGACACACACCCAGGGGCTGCAGGTGGCTCCAGCAGCCACACACACTCTATGTCAGAGGGACCTACAGAACCTGGTGCCACCACACAGGCTGAGGAGAAATCTCTCATGAAGCTCCTCATGAGACAACAGCACCTCCAGGTAGCTGGAGGTGGGCAGTGCACTGGATTCAGTCTAACACCTGGGGCTTCAAATTCTCTTTGTCTGTAGCTGGGATAAAAAATTATTTTAAAATCTACTTAGAGGAAATGGCAGAGCTGGGCCCCCCCAGAAACTTGAACAGGTCCAGGAGGAGATCCTCTCAACAGGGCTCATCTTTGTGAGGATACATCAAGTGAGGCCATGCAAATATGACCAAAGTGATCAGGGACTGTTTGAGAGGGAAAATTCTGAAGAAAGGAAATGTGTCTCAGCTATGGCTGCAGACACCAGTACCTACCTAGTGACTGTTGAAATGTCAAGTGCACAGTAAAAGAAGTTTGAATGCTTCAAGAACCACATGAAGTGTTATACAGGTGCTGACACCAAACACTAAGTTCCTTTGCTAACTTGTCTTTTTAAAGAAAAGCATATTGAGAAGACACTAACAGGTTGTATTTCATACTTATGAGAGGATTTCATCAGTCCTACAAGCAATTTTGTTTGCTTTGAGTGGATTTGATCAGTCCTACAAGCAATTTTGTTTGCTATTACAGTATGAACCTCATGTTGTCACTCTCAACTTGTTTAATGCTCTTATTTTCAGTAATAAGGCACTAACAAATGATGATACCTAGTATGTAGGGACAGAATTATGAAGACTTCAACAAAGCAAATAGCCTAAGCTTTTTGCTCCGTTGGCATTACAAAGTTTGCTCACACACTCTTAACAAAATTTGAGCTCCCTGTGTGGTTTCATTGTCCTCTGTGCTCACAGGAAGGTGCTGCTCACTAAGTCTGGTCAGTGGCATAGAAATAGAAATAGAGACTCTTTGGGCTCTGTACGTGAACAATCAGGAGGTATAAGTGGTCACTTCATAGTCACTGCCTCTGCTGTAATTCCTGCAGAGTAGCCATGTCTTACTTAGGGATTTAGGACTCCTTTTTCACTGGTTACCCTTCCCTGCTTTGTATTTCACATAATCTGTGCTGTTCTTACAGCTCTTCTAAAGTGAAAAGCCAAAACCATACCGTTCCTTTATGTTCTTTCCTTAAGCCCTATCTGCAGTTCAGTTCAATTTTTCTGTCCTTCCTTTTTCTATATTTTGAACCCAACTTGAACCTAGCAGGGCTGAACCTCAGCTCCTTTCTAAACCTTCTCAATTGCCCTTATTTTCTGTTGAAAAAATATCGTATTTTCTGTCTTGTTCTTTCCTTTTCCATCTCACTATTTTTTTTTTTTTTGCCTCATAAGCCCTAAGAGCAGCTGTTTTTCTTTAAACCAAAACTCTTAAGTCTCTTATCTTCCATACCAATAGATGAAATCTTCCTGCTCTGCAACTCTGTATGATTTTCCATTTTTCCTCTTAATCCATACAAAGCAAAAATGCTCAGATAGGATTTCCACACAATCTTTCTGATCTATTTTGTCCCATTTTAGGTGAGATTTAACTTATCTCTGTCTGGTATCAGTAATAAGCTAGTCATCCCAAGATCCTGTGTGAAAAAAAGTGGTGTATTCAGACAGTAATCTTTGCCACCCCTTGGAGATGTTTACTTTCTTTATAATAATAGTGAAAGAGTTAGATTAGACCTGATGCAAGTGAAATTTATTCTCTGCTTGATTTCTCTGTCAACTGCCTCTTCTTCTACAACATATTCCAGAAGATTTGAGTCCTTATTGTCAATACTGTACAAAATACCTTCCCTAAAACACTTTGTTTCCCATTTA